GAACAAAATTAATGTAAGCCAATGTCTGAGAACTCTTAGGGATTTTGAATCCTATTCAGTGGGTCTGCAAGGTTCTCCCTTTTCTAAGTTATGTGTGAAGTTGGAGTGTCTTCATATACTTCAAGCAAGATAGCACAACTCATTATATGCAGAAGTAGATAGGACAATCCAGTAGTCTTCTACTAAAGCAGACATCACAAAATTGCAAAAACCTGCTAAAACATGCCACTCCTCCACTATTTTTGCTTTGTTCCTGGGAAATGTAGGTTTTTTAAAATGTTGTTTATGTTAATATGTAGTGAATGGTCATATATATTAATAAACTAAAAGTCTGTTTGAATTTCAAATATCATAAATATTCATTGATATAACCCACATAAACAAAAACTCTTTTGTTATAAGGGATCCAAAGATCAAGTTTTAGAACGCCAGTATAGAAAGTATTATTCCTCCTTGCCACAGTATTATTAAATACTCTTACTAAATAAAAATGTTTCGATCTCCATTTACCACCCCCAAACATATTCTCCACCTTCCTCTGTACTACAGACTGGCTCCCTTGCTACTGGCTTCAGATTGAATTTCACTACTGGGAAACACAGGGAAGAGTCTGGAGGTGAATTTCACTACTGGGAAACACAGGGAAGAGTCTGCTCCCTCCCTGCTCAGAACCATGTCTGTGCAATAAGCCTGTCTCCTAAGCCACAGCTACACATTCTAGGCAATTCAGACTCTTCACACTTATTCTTCCACTTGTATCTCCAGTCCTAGTTATGATTAAGGTTTTTCACTGTTGCCAGTCTCTGGATGCCTCATCACAACTTCTTCATTCCTTATAAACACCTCTGTAAATAATCCCTTTGTAAAATTTCTTTGAGCCATATGAGGAAATTCAAGGGAGGAATTTGAGATAGATCTGCCAAAAGGAAGTAGTGATGAATTTTACATGTCTCTTAAAATTCACGAGTTTAAAGATAAGTTTTTAATAATATTAAGTGTGCTTTTATTGTTAATAATTATGAATAAAAATGACGGGCACTATAGTCTCTCAAGAAATTTAAAGCATTTTATGACTATCATATTCCAATTTTTGTGAAGAGGAAAAATCTTTTATTTTCCTATTAAACAACTACACAAAAAAAAGTTATTAAATTGACCAAGATCAAATAGATAAATAGAAATTTCACATTAAAAAGCACATAACAAAACTATTAAGTCCCAATGAATAATTTACCCATTTAAAAAATATTAACATAAGAACTAAATTTTTAAAATATAACAAAAGAAATGTCTATTGAAACTGGATATAATGTTTATCATCAATACTAGCAGAATATGAGTCATGCAAATGTTCATAGCTATAACCTTACCTAGTATTCACATTACTCAATGTTATTTTTTTATTCTAGTACCATCATGGGTAAATTCTTGAGCACCACAGAATGGAAGGATAGTTTCTCAGACATTAGGTAGGAACCCCTCAATAACAACAGTATTAGAATGGATTAATGACAACACCGTTGGCAACATTTTCTTTTTCTTTCTTTCTTTATTTTTGATACTAGGAATTGAACTACTGGGCTGCTTCCCCAGCCCTTTTTATTTAAGCTTTAAATTGTATAAATCAGAGCCATAACTACAATGCTGCTAAACTCAAATTTGAATCAACTCAATTAAAGCCTGAGTCAAAGACAAACTAAGAAACCTGATTCAATACGAAAAATTGTGGTATGTATGTATATTTAAAATTGTAATGCAAAAAAAAGTACATGTATAAAGGCATAAATTGGTATGAACATACTTTATATACAGGGATATGAAAAATTATGCCTATATATGTAATAAGAATTGTAATGCTTTCCACTGCTGTTGTGTTTTTAAAAAAAAAAAATTTAAAGAATAAAAAACTCCATCCCCTACACTCACAAAAAAAAAAAAAGAAACCTGACTCAAGTACTACAATCAAAAACACCCAGTAGCAGATCTAAATGTGAAAGAATAAAAACTTTTAAAACACAGAAAAGTATCTTTATGACCTTGAAATAAGAAAGTTCCTTAAACAAGACATAAAAAGGTTCACCATTAAGGACTGTAAATTGGTGCAACCACTGTGGAAAGCAGTATGGAGACTCCTCAAAAAACTGGGAATGGCACAGTGGCGCATGCCTATAATCCCAGCAGCTCGGGAGGCTGAGGCAGAAGGATTTAAGTTCAAAGCCAGCCTCAGCAACTCGAGGAGCTAAGCAACTTAATGAGATCCTGTCTCTAAATAAAATACAAAATAGAGTTGGGGATGTGATTCAGTGGTTGAGTGCCCCTGAGGTCAATCCCTGGTACCAAAAAAAGAAAAGAGAAAGAAAACTGGGAATGGAACCACTATTTGACCCAGTTATCCTGCTCCTCAGTATATATCCAAAGGACTTAAAATCAGCATACTGAGCTGGGGTTGTGGCTCTGTGGCAGAGCACTTGCCTCAAACATATGAGGCACTGGGTTCAATCCTCAGCACCACATAAAAATAAATAAACAAAATGAAGATATTGTGTCCATGTACAACTAAAAAAAATATATTAAAATCATCATACTAGGACTGGGGAGATAGCTCAGTTGGTAGGGTGCTTGCCTGGCATGCATAAGAACCTGGGTTCAATCCCCAGCAACACACACACACACACACACACACACAAAAGCAGCATACTACAGTGATGCAGCCACATCAATGTTTACAGCAGCTCAATTCACAATAACTAAGCTATGGAATCAACCTAGATGCCCTTCAACAGATGAATGAATAAAGAAAATATGATAGATAAATACACATATACATACACACCCAATGTAATATTACTCAGCCTAAAGAAGAATGACTATGGCATTTGCCAGTAAATGTATGGACCTGGAGACTATTATGCTATGTGAAATAAGCCAATCCTAAGAAGCCAAAGGTTGAATACTCTCTCTGATATGTACAAGCTAACCCACAATGGGGAGGGCGGGGAACAGAAGTTCAATAGATTAGACAATGGGGACTGGAGGGAAAGGAGGAAGAACAGAAAAGGAAAGGTGGTGAGAGGAATCTGACTTGATCTTCCTATGTAAATATATGAAAACACCACAGTAAATCCCACCATCATGTACATCCACAAGAATGGGGCCCTAACTAGAATAAAATACATTCCATGCTTGTATAATTATGTCAAAATGGATTCTACTGTCATGTAAACTAAAAAAAAAAAAAAAACAATTAGGAAAAAAATTTTTAAGTGCATCATTAAAATTTTTTAAAAATATAGGCTGAACTGTGTAAAAATAAAATTTTTTATTCACTGAAAGATATCAGATATTCACAATACATATATCTGATAAAGGACCCACATAAAGAATCCTCCAAACAGAACAACAGAAAATAGTAAAATAGACAAATTACTTGACACTTCAAAAGCAGAATTCACAAATAACCAATAAACAACTTCATTAGTCATCAGGGAAATACAAATTAATATCATTTAAAAACACTACAGATCCACCAAAATAGCAAAAATGAAAAAAGAAAAAACAGAAAATATCAAATACTGGTTGAAGATATGGAACACCCAGAAATCTCACTGCTGAGTGGAGTGTAAATTGACACATAAATTTTGAAAACTATTTGCTACTTATCTACTAACATGGAATTCACACATACTCTATATCCCAGCAATTCTATTCCAAGATGTACTTACTACAGAACATATACATATTTTCCTCCTAAAGACATACTAGAGTGCTTATAGTAGCACTACTTGAACTAGCCTTTAATAAAAAAGAAGCCACAAATGTTCATCAAAAGTAGAAATGACAATAGGAAACAAACACAATGAAATACTACACAGCAATGAAAATGAAAAAATTACAGTTGCATGTAATAATAGGTGTGATTCTCACAACAAAAAACTGAGCTCTTTCCATTGGCATACATTTTACAAATATGTAAACCTAATATGATTTTAGAAGTTAAGAGAATGATTATACTTGAGAGGGGATACTGACTGGAAGGGGAACACAAGAAGAAAATCTCAGGTACTAGGATTTCTGAATTAATCTGGGAGCTATTTTCACAAGTGTGTTCAGTTCATTAAGATTCACTGAGCTTTCCATTTACTATGCAAGCTTTTTATTTTTATAAATTTATCAGTATTAGTAAATTATCAAGCAATTTTTTCACCAATTAATTTTGTTGTTGCTGTTTTTTACATACACATAGGTCTAGAAAATAACTTAATTCTTTCTTGAACTTCACATGGCTAATTTAACACAACTACATAGAAAAAGTCAGTTTTAAGTAATGTCTAGTAACAGTTCAAAAGTACTTCCTTCATTTTTAAATGCTAAAACTTTTATAATTACCTAAAAAATGAATCTATGCCAAATGAAGCCATTAATCTTTCAGCATGAAACAACTGCAAAACTTACATTTAATGAAATTAAGTTGCAATGAACTTCAAAATTAGCAAATTTTTTTCATTACTAAACTAAGATATACTATGAACAATAAATTGAAAATATCAACATATGTAAAAGTAAAGGTATACATCAGTGTCCATCATATAGTAAAATGAAAAGGCAAAGTGAATTTACTATTCCTAATTATAATTTTTAAATAAGAAGCTATTTCTACTTAAAATACTGTTTTATTAAAAACTATAATGCAAAGAATTTGAAAATAACTTATTACAAAAAAAGGAAAAAGGATATGGAAGAAAAACCCAGACATAAATCATATAAAATTAGAAATCCTGTTAGATCACTGTAGATGGCAGATAAGTTACAGGAACAAAACAAACAAACATTAGGGACTAAAGGATAGCAAAGAGAGTGGACTCTACAGAGGTCTAAAGTAGAAATTTATAAAATTACATATATGATAAAATAAGAAGCTGAAGAAGACCAGATAAATAAAATAAGAAAAAGCCCTTTGAATTCCTTTTGTAAGCACAACAAATTACTATCAGCATCCTTACTTGATATGGCCAAATAAAAATTTCAGGAGTAATGTGGAATATTCTTACAGGAAGAAGACAGGCCTTCAACATCTCCTATGTAAAAGACATTAGAAATACATCCATTTTTGTTTATCAAAACCTCACCCCATTTCACATTAGGGAATTGTTAATCTGCTTATTAAGTTTAAGAGAATTACAACCACAAACCTAATAACAAATCTCAAACATGAATACTAAACCATAATGCCTCATTATACCTTATTCCATTCATTATAGTACTCTAAAATTATTTCTGAATTAATCAACTAGAGTTCTACACTCTTGAATAACAACAATAACAAAACCCACATTTTTCCTTACCAATTCATATTCATCAAAAAGCTGTATGAGAGAAGGTGGAATAAACATATGAAAGCCCTGTAAAAAAGCATTGATCTGAGGCTGAATGGCTCTTGTCATTCGAAGTTCAGTAACAAGCTGGACATACTCTGCCTACAAAAAAAAAAAAAAAAGTTTTTGTGATGACTTCTTTTTAAATCTCATTTAAGATAATGTTGATAGAATAAATTTCTCATTTAAGAGGTAAAGGTTTGGAATTAATTTGGTGCCAATATTCATAAAACTCAACAAACCAGTAAACCACCATTCACTAAGTTGTTTAGGCCAAAATCCTAGTAATCAATCACCCATGACTTCTCTCAGATTTTGTCGGTAAGATCTACCTTTAAAAAATATTCTCAATCTGACTTAGTCTTAACTACCTCTACTTCTAGCATCCTGATCCAAGCCATCATCATCTCTAGCTTGATTACAGCAACACCTGTTTCCATTTTGCTTCCTGCCACAGCTAAAGTGGCTTTTAAAAATACAGATATATTGGGCTGGGGTTGTGGCTCAAGCGGTAACGCGCTCGCCTGGCATGTGCGGGGCTCTGGGTTTGGTCCTCAGCACCACATAAAAATATAATAAAGATGTTGTGTCCACTGAAAACTGAAAAAATAAATATTAAAAATTCTCTCTCTCTCTTCTCTCTCCTTAAAAAAAAATACAGATATATAACACATAACTTTCCTGCTCAAAACCCTACAATGACTTCACATGACACAGTAAAATCCAAATAAAAACCTTTCCCAGTCTGTAAGGCTCTTATTGATCTGAGCTCTGCTTTGCTCACTGATCCCATTCCTTTTCACTCCTCCCCTAGGTCGGTTCACTCAATTCTCTTCCTTGGCCCTCCAACTATTCCCCAAACACAAGCTCAATTAGGCCTCTCTGTCTTTACACTTTGAGGCTTTCTAACTGAAATGTCTCATTAGAACATAAACTCTCTGCAGACAAGAACTTTGTTTTATATATCTATCAGTATATATCCCCTGCTCCTAAGAGTGGCTGCTACTTTGTAAATATTTAATAAATAAGTGATAAAAATGAATGCATACATTAACAAATTAACAACACACAATTTAAGCTTAATAAAATGACTCATTTTATCATAGCCAATTCAATTTTGAGTTAAACTATTTTCACACATTATTATTAAAATTTAACTGATAATAAAAAATGTATTTTGGCACAGACCAGAATGAATGATTATCATATATACATGTATGTGTATATAAACTATTGGATGTTATCCTTTATATATTTTTCTAAATTACTTCTAACTTTTTTTTCCCTAGTACCAGGCATTGAACACAGTGGTGCTTAACCACTGAGCAACATCCTTCGCCTTTTTGTATATTTTACATTCAGACAGGGTCTCACTGAGTTACTCAGGGCCTTACTAAATTGCTGAGGCTGGTTTTGAACTTGAGTTCTTCCTGCTGCAGCCTCCTGAGCCACTGGGATTACAGGCATGCATCACCACACCTGGCCTAAGTAAAACTTTTGAGAGTTAAAAAGCAATATGCTATGTAGAGTTCTCAATAACTCTAAACACTGAGGAGAAAAAGGTCTTAATGAATTATAAAGTATGAAAATAAGATTTGTGAATTGCCCAAGTAAAGTTTACCTATATTAGTTGCATTCCATATCTATTGGAATACACATTCTTTTTTATCAATTCCTATTATGTCCTCATACATTCAATTTTTAAATTTTTATGTGTGCTAATCTTTCCTCACACTTTTATCTTTTATTCCTTCAAACATTAATTATTTTCTGTATTTATTTCAGTAACCAGTCCATAGCTACCAGATATGGATTTGTGAAAATCAGCTCCTTCACATCCTAATCCTCATAGCAATTAAGGAATTTAAATGTGACTGTCTCTTGGTTTAAATTACCTTTCAGTAAAATAATAAAATCCTAGTCATTATAAACTTTGAGTTGTTTAGTAGAATAAAGATAAGTGAAAGATAACTGTGATTAATCAAACTGCCTCTAAAATATTTTTCCCTGTCTCTTTAAATAGCACAACTTCAAATAAAACAACACAAATTAACATCTTCTTGGCAATCCAATTGTTACTATGAACACTTACTAATTTTACACACTAACATTCCAACTGTTTTTGTTATGCAGAAATATAACAGCTACCTTCCATTATCTATAAAGGGTTTATAGGTGATTTTATATCCTTGCAAAATTACACTGTTTCATATAAGCTTTAAGGAAACAGTACACACATAGATGATAGCCAATCCATAAAACAGTGGAATGACAAGTTTCAAAACTAAGCAATAAATATAAATCAAATCTAAAATCTGACTTTTCTCTAAGGTATTAAAAAAACTAATATATTCATTCTCACTACAAAAAATAGTCAGTATTTGAGGTAATGGATATGTTAATTAGCTTGACTTATTCATAAGTCATAGCATCAATTTGTATCCATAAAATATATACAAACATAATTTGTTAAAATATAATTAAAAATTTTTTAAAATAATAAAACTGATAAAAGCTAAGAGTAAAGATATTTTATCCCCAACAGATAGCATATACTGTTCCTAATAAGTTTTGCAGTCAATTCTTTGAGGGCATAAAATATGAGATGTTATGGAATTAAACTGGAGAAGTGACGATATATAAGATAATACGTTAACATACAGAAAATTTCAACCTAGAAAGCCTCAACAGAGAATAAAAAAAGAGCTCTAGCAACTTTTTTCCAGCACAACCTCCGAGCCTGATAATTGATATAAAGATATAAGAGAAAAGTAACTATAAACGGAATGCACACTAAGACTAAGGTGATTCAACTTTCAGACATTTACATTCCAGTTCAATTACTGTCTACTTATAGAAACATTTTGCTTCAGTAATCTCCTAATCTTCTTAATATGTGAAATGAATAACATCATCCCTCAAAGATATTCCTTAAAATTTTAACTTTTCTTCAGGTTTTAGGCCTAAATTATGTCCTCCTATGGAGTGCATTGGGGACACTGAAAATTGACACATTTCTCTAAACTAATTTCCTTCTTGAAAATCTTTTTTTACTATTTCTTGATATACACCTAAATAAAGCACAGTTATTTGAATAACAGTTAAATAATTTTTAATAGTAAAAACAAAATGCTCTTCTCCCCCTTTAAGTAGATTGATATTCTTGGCCACATTTATAAAATTGTTTGGAATGGTTTGTGGGTTTTTTCATTTGTTGGATTTTCTTTTTTAACCAATCAACTGTTTAAATGGTACTATTACTGACATAATTCAATTCACTGTTTATATAAACTGTTGGTAACAAAACCTTCCTTCCTGGATTTATCTCCCTGATTATTATTGCTCTGGCATATAATAGTTTTTACTGAAAATTTCAAATGAGTATGGGATCGCACTCCTGTAATCCCAGTGACTCCGGACAAGAGGATCAACAGTTTGAAGCCAGCCTCAGCAATTTAGCAAGACCCTATCTCAATACAAAAAATAAAAGGGCCAGGCACAGTGGTGCACATCTGTAATCCTAGCAGCTAAGGAGGCTGAGGCAGAAGAATCTCAAGTTCAAGACCAGCCTCAGCAACTTAGTGAGGCCTTAAGCAATTTAACAAGACTCTGTCTCAAAATTTCTCCATTGAGAACTCAATTTTTTTTTTCCTAAAGAATACAGTATCTTGCTTAAAAGCAGGCTCAAAAATATATCTAAGGGGCCAGGGTTGTGACTCAGCAGTAGAGCGCTTGCCTAGCATCGATCCCTGGCACCACATGAAAAAAAACAAATAAAATAAATGTATTGTGCCTATCTACAACTAAAAAACTATTTTAAAAAAAATGTATCTAGCACAGGGGTTCAAATCCTAGCCTCACCAATTATTAACTGTGATTTGGGTGATGCCATTTAGCCCTATATATTTCCATTTCCTCACCTGTACAGGTTTGTTTAAGCTAATACTCATAAGGCACTTCAAACACTGCCTAGCACATTATAAGCACCTAATAAATGTCAGATAGTTTTAATATTAAGGCTATTTTCATATTGGATAAAGAGAAATAATTCAATCAAAAGGTTACTACAGTAAATGAAAAATTTAAAAGTATATAATTCAAGTATATGAAATATACAAAAGGTAATCCTATTATTATCACTAGAAAACAGAACTAAAGGGCAATGAGATAAATAGAGAGTAGAATGGCAACATTATGAATCATTTGGGAGCCGAATCCACAAAAGTTGCAATCGCCCTTTAGTCCTTCCTCTTTCTCATCTTTCCAAACAATTACAACCAAGTTCTATAAATTCTATTAAAGTTATGTCCTCTTCTCCATTTTCACTACCACTGCCTTAGAAAACTCCTCATGCTTGCTCCCTGAAAACAATGCAACAGCCTCCTATTGGTTGCCTGACTACAATATTTTTTTTTGCTCCATTTCAACACATTCTTCATGCTCAAAATTAAGTTTAAAGCAAAAATGAAAAAAAAACAAAAACAAAAACCCAGAACCCTTATTTAACATTTGCAATCATCCCTACCTATAGCCTCAAATTTCTCGTTATAGGTGCAGTCTTTCATAATTTGGCCCCAGTCTACCTCCCCCACCTCATCTTTTCTCTCTCACTCGTTATGCAATGTAAGCCAAGCTCCAAGACTCTGAGCTACTGTGGGTCCTCAAATATGCCATGCTCTGTGTCATCTGTGTGCCTTCTGATGAGCCCAGAACATTTCCTTCTTCCTTTCCTTATTCTTACCTGACCACTTTATATTTCTCTATAATTCAACTTTCCTACTGCCTCCTCCATCCATTCCCTGAGATCCTGCCCTACCCCATGCTCATTCCACTATCCAAGTCTGCATGAACTTTATGATTAATATTGTAAAAGCAATGCTAGTATTTAAAATCCATGTAGTTTATCATTCAGTTCCAAGGGCTGAAACTGAAGATCTAAGCAAAAAAGGATGCATCTAACTCAAGAATTACGGCTCTAATATTTCAGGTTTTGTTTAATAATCAAAATTATTTTTAAAGAGATGGAAAAACTCTTTAAATGTTAAAATTTCAACTTCTGATAATACAACTATTTTCCAAAATGAAAACAATGAGGGATTTTTTCCCCTCTAGCTTTTAAAACAAATCACTGACAGCTACAAAATTAAAAACATTATATATCCAAATGTGGAACTAATATATATTCTTCTGCCTGTATTACATGCATTCATTTAATATACTGGATTTTAGAGAAAAGGCATTTTGTTTTCATTCTGTAATTAACAAAGGCCTTTAATAAAATTTAGGAATAATAACTCCCTCATGTGGAAATCAGTTTAAATAGGCTCTCTCTTACTAATAAGTTTGGCAAGTCATTTAAATTTCAAAACAGTTAAAATTATAAAGTTCAACTCTAGATATGACAATTACAACTATATACTTATAAACATAAGTAAATAATGGACTAGTTCTAAAGTGACAGTAAAGTTCATGGTAGAATGCATAAATTGAAAAAAAATTATATTCTTCAGGTTTGATTTTTTAAATGAACATTTTATGTACTAAATACTTTAACAATTTTAAGGCAAGTAATCAGTTTAAGATGTGGTATGTTCCTAAAGATTTTTAAATTAATCTGGTTGTTTATTAAAAAAAAATTAAATGTCTAAACAACCAAAAATTTGATAATACAATTATATTGGTAACTTTAGAAAATGGAGACTCGATTTATTGTGAGAAATTTTTATATGAGAAAAATAAAAGTTGAGAATAATTATTAAAATATTTATGACTGAGATCCTGCTATTATCAATCCTAATTATTTTTTTTTAAATTTAGCCCATTATCAACCAAGCAACTGGTCAAATTAAAAAGTGTTACACTTAGAAATAAATGTTTCAAACTCTTTAATTACCATAGTATTCCATCCTCAGACAAGACTCACAATGAAAGGTACATCCTCCATGAGCATATTTTAATTTATAATTATTTAATTACTATTTTCCTTCTTTCTAGATTCCAATAAAAAACATGAATGTAAAAACTAATAAGTATTTTATAAAATCTAAATAAAAATCATGTCATTAGTGGAGTGGCTAAAAAATGCAAGTATAAACACAGCTATGTATCATTGAATTGTTAAATGGTCATTCCACTTCATCAAACTACTCACCAGATACAGTATTCACCAATAAGAATTACATTTATGGTTCTTCCCTGAAAAGCAATCACCTGCTTAATAAAGATTCTATGGGGGCTGGGGTTGTGGCTCAGTGGTGGAGCGCTTGCCTGGCATGTGTGGGGCACTGGGTTCGAGCCTTAGGATATGAAAAAATAAATTAAATAAACATATTGTGTCTATCTACAACTAAAAAAAAAAAAAAAGATTCTATGACTTCATAACCTTTAATTGAAGGTTGGTCTTTGGTGTAAAATAAAATAATAAATGTACTACAAGGTGAACAATCTAAAGATTTTTAAAATATTTTCATTCACTCCCAAGTTCATACAAATTTCAAAATTAATTTAAGCACTTTACTATCTTAATTTTCAACATTCTAACATGACTCATTATATTAAAAACTAGGTAGGTTTTTCCTCAATATGATTAATTTTGCATACAGCATGAAGAACATTAGACTTGAAATTAGAAGACCTGAGTTTTGGTATCACCTTTGCCATTAACTCTTTAGGATTCAGTGTCCTTGTATACAAAATCAGAGGGAAAGCTAAAAATTTCTAAGTATAGTGAATAAAAGCTCAACTCCCGATTTTATTTCTAATAACTCAACTGCATATTTTTGTGTAAGTATAGCACAAGAGTTTTAAGAAGTAAAATTGTATGTCTTAATACAGGTTCACAATTTCCTTTATATATGTGAAACTAAGAACATACTTTTAAAGAATACTACCCAATAGCATTCTTTACTACTACTACAACTTTTGTGCTACTTTTCATTTTACAGAATGTCAATGACAATTCCGTATGGTAGGTATTATTATTCTAGTTCTATAGGATGTAGAAAACTGAGGCTCAATGAGTTGTTAAAATGTGACTAAGTCTTGGGCCAGCAATGCAGTTCAGTGGTAGCAGGGAACATGACTATCATTGAGTAAGGTTCTGTCTGGGTTTGGCCCCCAGCACTATTATAATAACAACAACAACAAAAAGTCTACAACCTACAAAATGGTTTAACAGACAATCTTTATGGTTAATTCTGAAGTTGTCTTGGAATTAAAACATGACTAAGGAAAGGAAAAAGGTTTTAGGTTTGTTTAACAAGAAGATGCTATTCATACATAACTGGAATTCAAAACCAGATTTTCTGATTCCGAATGTCCTTCATAATATAGCAAAATATAATACTGTATTGTATATTTGATTATGATTTTCAAAAGTTTATGATTTTCAACATTTAAAACAAATGCAAGATTTTGTGATAACATGTATAGAGAAGATACAATAATAAAAACAACCAAGATATAAAATTAGAAATATATACATTAAGAGGTCTAACAGATTTACTGGAACTTAAAAGCATTTCCAAAGTTTAAACATTGGTATTTCTTCTTTTCTATATTAAAATATTTTTAAAATATTTTTTAAAATATTTTTTTTAGTTGTTGATAGACCTTTATTTTATTTATCTATATGCAATGCTGAGAATCAAACCCAGTGCCTCATATATGCCAAGCAAGTGGACTACCGCTGACCCACAATCCCAGTCCTATATTAAAACTCTTTAATCACACTTTTGAAATAGTGATTATTACAAGTATTATATTTTGATTAAGTTTGTATTATTAAAATTTTCAAATGCATTTGTAAATGTACAATTGGTATGATCAACTGAAGCGTCCAGACTGCTTTAGGAACCATCTCAGCCTACCTAGGTAAAACAATACTGAAATGATCCTTTCCAATTCAAGTTTGACATTTGATAGTTTTGTTAACTCAAATGTTTTAATCTACAGCATAAAAGCTTTTCTAGCAAGTACCAGAACAATTTAGCGTAACTGGCAAATTATCAAATCCAAACTTCAAACAATAATTAAGGTAAACATTCAAATACTCACTTTGTTATTTTGTGTCACAAGAATACCTCCACCCCCAGGTTTCAAAGGCACCTCTTCCATTGCTCCAAACACATCAGTTTCAACAGAAAAAGTTAATTCTAGACCTAGATCACTAATATCATTATCTAAAATCCACTGCAAATTTTTGGCATATTCTGGATCAATGGATGCTACATCTTGGTAATTTACAGGAATACCTAAAAAAATGCAAAAACACAGCAGTTACAGTCCATTTTTCTGTCTTTCCTCATCTGTTTAATGGTAAAATACTGCCCTCTATGGATACATTGAAAAACTGCAAAACAGAATCCAATTCACAGCATGGCTTTAAATGGATCTAATTCCTAAATGTGTAATTCTAAATATTAAGCCTGTTTTTTCCACATCTTTACAATGAAATCTTTCTTTAAAATAGATATTCCGTAAGTTGTCATAAAATTTCAGAAGTACCAAATATCTTATTAAATTGTATTCTTTGCACAAACATATACATGATAAAATAAAAAACAAAAATTTAGAAGTGTTTTTTTAAAAATAGGTCATTTTTTTTGCCTCTGACTCCCAAATGCCTTACACATAGATGGTGTCCAATCAAAATAAAAATTATCTCATTCAAATGCCACTGATTACCTACTTAGTTCACCCTTAAAAGCTTAAGAAAATTACTGTAAAAACATGTGTACAGAAATAAAAAATAAAACCATACCAAGAATGTGTTTGTAGAATGATCGTGTGAAGTAAATATTGACCAACTGCCTATGGTTCAAAGCTAATCCCAAGATCTGGCCAGCAAACCGGAAATAGTTCAAGTGATCAGGATTTACATAGGAGTTGCTATTAGGCTGAAAAGTTGTTCCTATTAAAATAAATACCAAAAAATTATACTTAGGAATCTATATGCAGAAGAGAGATAACTTAAATGCAAATAAATTAATTCACATATAACTTCAGTAAAGCTAATCATATTAAGCTTCCATAGGAATGTTCTTTGTGGATACACAAACAGGCAGTAGAAATGGAAGTACTGAAAATAACCATTAATTCACATACATTATCAGGACAAGTCCAAATATAAAGAGAAAATTTTAGAATACTTTCAACTAAAGTAGTTGGAAGAACATTAGATACCTTCAAAAAACCTAGTAAAAGATAATACACATACACGTATGAACACCCATTTTCCTAGGCAGTGTGGCAATAAATACTAGGCTATAAACTAGGGCAGATATTGTCTCATTCATCTATATATGTCCAGGGCAATTATTATTCACTTATTTTTGCTTCTCAAGGAAAGCAAACAGTTATGAGAAAGACTAAAACTTTTAAATGTACAACTGTTCTTAATAGACCTAGTCATTGAACTTAATGCCTGTTAAACAATGATCAGAAAATCATCTAAGTTTCCAAGTCAACCACTTCTTTCACATGGCAAATAATCAAGTTTAAACAATTAATGCTGAGGTAAAAGGAAAAATGGCAAGAGTAACAGTTACTGATTACAGTGTCAAAATCTAATTTTAAGAGTATAATTCCACTTTTATGAAATATCTAGAATAAGTGAATTCATATATATTCAAAGTAGATTATACTTCAAGTAGTTACTTGAGGCTAGGGAAAGACTGAGGAGTTATTTAACAAGCAGAATTTCTGCTTGGGCTGACAAAAAAGTTCTGGAATCAGTGGTGATGGTTGTACAGCATAATAGGTCAATAGTGTCAATAAGTTGCAGACTTTCAAATGGTTGAAATGATCAATACTACATATTTTACCACACAAAAACACATAGTCCAATCGAAAAATCTAATGTCAACTTCTCAACTTCAACTCCACTGATTTTTCTGTGATGATCATTAACCTGGATTAAAAATTCATTCATTCAAGAAACATGAACTCATGCTATGTACTACTTTCTAGGTACTGAGGCTAAAAGAAAGGATAACTGATAAATATAACAGAAATAGAATCAAAGAAAAATAAAGTAGAAAATATTATTAGTGAAATGTTTGGTCATTTGGAATACATACTTGTGATAATACTTTGAGCTTTGATTTATCATTGTTGAAATTGGATTAAACTGCTGTCACCCATTTAATTAGATGTAAGGGAAAAAATTTAGAAGCTTATGGTTGAATGGCCTAAATAAGCCACATGAAGTTCATCATTCACTCTTAAATACCTTTGAATAATTTCCAGTCACGAGGTATGACTGGATATGAAAAGACAGAGCAAGGCCTTGGAGAAGAAGAAAGACATCAAAGATCAGCATAACCATAATTCCAAAACCATATTATTTTATAATGAGAATATCACAATTTTTTTTTATCTGTTCAAATAGAGAACATTAGGGTTACTGGTGAACCAGCACTTATTTTTGATGAGTCTATTTTCCTCTCCTAGCTTTGTGTAATTCTTTCACTATCTAATACTTTCTGGGAAATTTGGATTCTTAAAAAGAATAGATAAGGAGAAATTTAAAGGAAAAAAAGGAAGCAAATGGGATAAAAATCTTCAGGACAGGAATAATAAATAGTTTTTAACTTGAAAACTAGTTAAAACAGAGTATAAAATTTATATTAAGATTTTTAAGTTCAAAATACTCACAACTATGACGGTCCCAGGTTCTTGTTTTCACTATTAAAAATTCTGGGGCTGGGACTGTGGCTCAGTGGTAGAGTGCTCGTCTAGCACATGCAAGGTGCTGGGTTCGATCCTCAGCACCACATAAAAATAAATAAATAAAATAAAGCTATTGTGTCTAACTACTTCTAAAAAAATAAATAAATGTTTAAAAAAATTATAAGTAATCTAGGGATGATTTAAAGTATATGGGAGGATATGCATAGGTTAAATGCAAATACCAGACCATCTTATAGAAGGGACTTGGGCATCCATCCACAAATTATGATGTGTTTAGAGGGGGCCTGCACCAATTACTAGCAGATTCTGAGGGATGACTGAACATTGGCATGTGTAAATTCTGAACTATTATTCAGATAAATATGATTCATTGAGATATTTTTCAAAATATAATGAAAAACTTTTTTGTGTGGTGCTGGCAGTCAAAGGGCCCTGTGCACACAAGACAAATGTTTTACCAATGAGTTATATCTCAAGCCCTGAAAATACAATTTCAAGAAGGAAATCCTACTACATAATTATTTTCAAAGAATAATAGTAACAGTATCTAATACTTATTTCATGCTTTCTTTGTGCCAAGCATCAAAATAAACATTTTCACATCTCAGCTAACTGACGTATCCACTAACTGAATTCTCATTGTGTTATAAAACAAGTTATCACCATTTTCAATTAAAGGTTAACTTCACTAGTCTAATATCAAATTTAAAAAGTGGCAGAGCCAATATTAACACCTAATGTAACCCCAAAATCCAAACTCAAACAGTATCATAAGCTGCTTCTCTATCATGAGCATCTTAATTTGATTAGAAAATAAGTTTTTTTAAAAAAAATTGTTACAAATAACAGTCTCTCCAGATGTTCCCCACATTCAGGAACTCTTAAATCCTAAATGAAATTCCTTCATGAAACTAAACTTAATAACAAGATAATATTTCACCTAGATTTTTAAATTATTATTAAAACCATGACCCTAAAGAGAAATCATGTAGTTTACAAAAAGAACCACAATTTTTACAGTCTATCCCCTCAACATTTGCTTTGTTACGTGGTATTAAGGAAGTACCTCTAGTAATGATTTTCACATCAAATCTGAATTTCAGGTATGAAACTAAACAGAGGCAGAATGAGGGGACTATAAAGAAAAGCAAAGCCTAAAATATGCTGAATTGAGTTTTAGAGATTAGGCCTAAAATCTTTAAACTTAGCGCTTCATTGAACTTGTCATACTGTTCACAAAGACACTAAATTCACCAAGAGCAAACAATCAAAGGTTACAAAATTAAAGCAGGCAGTCCCATATTCTTAAGTAATTTCAAATACCCAAGGAGCGCATTACATAGGTGAATGCCTGCAGCTTCCTAGCTTCATTGCAGCCCACTCCTGTTGGCCTCTCCTCAAGTAATCCTTCTTATTAAATGGAGATTTGCTGCTACACTTGTTTGGAAGCAGTCAGAAGCTACAATTAATTAGGTATTCTCTCCTTGTAAAAGAATGTAAATACTGGAGAAAGAAAAAATTTGCAGGAAAAAACAATGGAACTGTGCGCAAAGCATCTGAAATCTAAAATCCTACTTTCACTTCAAATATAAGTCTTTATTACAGAGCTCTCAAACATACCCTCACAAAAATGAGGTGGTAACCAATTCCATTGAGTCTATAATATCAAATTACAACTCTATAGGTCCAAAAACCATTTCCACAAAGAGAGCTGTTCATCTGTATTATATGGTTAGGTAAGAGCTTTGTAGTTGTCAGGTCTTGATCTCTTAAAAGAACTGAAAAAAAAAAAAGTCAGCATGCATAAATAGATTATGAGTTAAGATTTAACATCACAATTTCTAGATTTTGGTTTTCATAACCAATATCTTTTTTTCTTTTTAGAATAAAGTAACAGAATTTATTTTTGAAACATAAAGGAAGCAGAACTCTCACAACGGAGGAATCACACTAAATTTTAGATGTAGAAACTCAAATAGGGTTAGCAAATTTTTATTTTTCCAAATACGGACTTTTTTTTAAGTCCATTACTAGCAACACTATTTTATGGAAGAAAACGTTAGCCAAAAAAGTAGGCTAGGGCTGGGGATGTGGCTCAAGCGGTAATGTGCCTGGCATGCGCGGGGCGCTGGGTTCGATCCTCAGCACCACATAAAATAATATAAAGATGTGTCCACTGAAAACCGAAAAATAAATATTAAAAAAAAAGTAGGCTAAAGGATAAATATCAATTGAATAAATTTCAAAGGGCAGATAAGAACTTGTTCAGGACCTCAAGACAAGCATTTGGAAACCAACTCTACTACACTAAGTTAAGTTCCACTTTCGGTTCTACCACTTGTCAGCTTGTCAATATAGACAAAAACTCTGAATTACAGTTTTTGATATGGGAATGCCTCATCTAGTTCACAGGGTTACTGTGGGAATCAACAAAATGTACTGAAGTAGTTTGAAAAATATGACAAGTCACCAAAAAAATCAAGACCACACAACTTACCATCCGCTGACTGGGTAAACAATGCATAATCAGGATTGACTATCTCATTAGACAGAATATCAAACCACTCTCGCACAACGCCTTGACCCTAAGGTTCAAGAAAATGAAATTTAGCATCAACAGAAATATATTATGCTGGAAACTTTTTTTCTGAATGAGAACAAAATTAAAACATTAAATTTCTTTGTTTATCAATTAAATATTAAGCTTCATTCAAATGTGTTTCTTTTATATACAGTGATTTCCAAATAACTTATTTTTATACCCACCATGCCTTCTTCTCCATGGAATCGTACAGCAATCCCTTGTTTTAGCTTTGCACAATTTGCTTTTGATACAACTTCACAGCTACTCCTAAAAATAGAATCTAAATATGTAGCATTAGTTAATTTTACATATTAAAATTTATAATAACAAGTACTTTGTGCCTCACACATATATCATTTTCTTTTTTAAACATACCTCTGTGAACCAGCAGAATGTCATTTTCATTTACTGGCCTGTGCACCATGTCTGAATCTGGTTGTCCTGAATGCAAATGTTCATAGAACCATTCACAGCGATCTTTAAATGGCTACCCAAAAAAATGACAGGAAAATATATTAATAATATTTCAGTCACCTAATTACCAGATTTATTAGCATACTAAATGCTAGTAAATTTCTACAAATAATCATTCTTAGACCTCTAATTCGCAATAAGTATTTATTAGATAATGTTCAAACATTTCAGTAACTATTCACAAAAAGGCAGATGTTAGCTGAAATACTTTGACAACCTAGACAATGTATTTTTTAACATCCTTATATTTTCATTGCTTCTTGGCCATATGGCTAGGATCAAACATAAAATTCCCACATTTTCAATAGGAAATACTGATAAGTTATATCTAAGAACTTAATGTTGGATATATAATTGAACATATTTATTCTCAATTTATTTTAAACCCAACAAAGCTTATAAGAATGAATTTTCACACCCAGAAAAAGTTACAGTGAATGTTCCACTTCAGTTTTTATGAAAATAATCTTTTATACCTATATTCATTCTTATTTCTCTTTTGAAATACAGACAGCAACTAGAAAGTTATTTGTTATCCTTCTGTCTTTCTTTCCTCCACCCTAAACATTGAAGAATAAGATCTCTTAAATGGTAAAGAAAATTTCTGCCTTTTATTCATCTAACAGGTAAAGCAAACTGCAAGTGATCTATAATTTTTATGATTAATCTGAAAGTATTATTGAGTACCTAGTATGTGCCAATACTAAAACATAAAAGCTGTATAAGTGTCACTCTCCATGTTAATACTTAGTAAAGTTGAAGAGATGAGAATAGCAGAGAACAGTACAATAGTGTATATCAAATTCTAAAAAGTGAAGTACAAACTACTGATGCAACTAAGAATTTAGAAACTTGAAGATGAATGGAGTACAAAGGTTTCACAAGTCATTTTCTGAACTAGAATTTAAAGCTCAGTAGGACATGCTCAAGCAAGGAGAAAAAGGGGCACAAAGAGAGACAAAGAGAAAGGTACAGAAGGAGAAATCATGTCCCTCTGGAAGATGTAGTGAAGGCACTGGTATAAACAGAATTCTACTTCTATACATGTTGAAAGAAAAATGTTTGTATAAGTAAACTGAGCACATAATAAAGGATCCTGAGAATTCAGTAAAACATACAGGAGCCACTATGTATATTGGTTAGAAGAATATAATACAGTAATTAAAGTGAGTGTGGCACCAATTTAAAGGGAGATTATCCAAGTACAAGTTATAAAAACAGCTACTAAATAATGAGGTCCACATAGTGGTAGGAAAGAGGAACTATGAAGTAAATCTAAGAGCCATTACTCCTCTAAATAAAAATGAAAAGTAAAAGAAGATCGCTAGAGATAGAACTTACTAACAGATATAACTTGGAGAGAAAGAAACTTTCTCCCACAACTTATTGCCACACTCCTAGAAGGCACTGATGGGAAAACAATAAACAAGGTTTTATGTATCCTGAATTTAATTTTATTGTAGGATATAACTATTAGGGGTTTGGAAATAAATACTTGACTCTGCTACACTTGAAACACTGAAAACAGAGTCCAGCTGAAGTTGGAAACAAGCTAAGGTACCTTGTTCAAGAGAACAGAATATAACCACCAAGAAGAAAGAAATTTACAATCCGAGGTCAGGATTGAGAATTTGCTCAGCAAATAACACACACCACTAACAAAGTTAAAGGATAAACAAGGTGGCACAATACCGCAGAAGCTACAGGTTTCAAAAGGTAAGGATGAGCAATACTACCCCCCAATACCACAAAGAAGTTACCTTTCAGGAAGTTTCTAGGTTATCAGTCAACTTCTTTAGTTGAGCTAAACTAAATATTAGTTTTGCTTTAAAAGACTTAACGCTTTTTATTAGTTCTTAATAAAATATTATTAGTTTAGATAACCAATATTATTAGTTTAGATAACTGGTGAGAGATTAACTTCTATCTCTTAATATTTGCTCTTTCACATATAGTATGCATCTAAGTACTTAATTTTTAGTAAACAGACTGGAATATAACGTACTTGAAGTTTCAATGCTAATTATTTCTAAAATTTTGGTAAAAGAGGAGAAAACAAAACTTTACACTGAAGCAACATATTTAAGTATGAGCTTTAAAGTCACATAAGCATGGTTTAAAATGCTGGCTCAGTCACTTACTGAATTTGTGATCCTAAGGAAATTACTAATTCCCTCACAACTTGTTTTCTTACTCATAAAATAGATAAAATAATACCTACTTCAAGGATTTATTGTGAGGATTTAAAAAATAATGCAACAGAACATAATAATCATAATTATAATCACAAATTAGCTAATGCTTTTTAAGCACCAATAAGCCAGGTATTGTTTCAAGACCTTAAGGTGCATTAATCACATGCAACCCTCGTAACACTGAAAAAAAGGTACGCTTAGCCCCATCTACAGAAGCAAAAGATATGTAGCACTAAGAAGCTAAGTAATTTGTGGAAATACTCAACATCCACAACAATAAATAGATGATGGTCTATTACCACTCCCATAAATGTTAAAATTGTCAATAATTATGACAATACATGACAGTAAGCTTACTTGCCATTTTAAGATATTAAACTGTCTTGGATCTATAAAATGTGAACCAAGAAATAAAAACAAATGCAATTTTTTAAGTAATTCATATAGAACATTAAAAGGTACCAATTGCTACCTTCAAAATCTAATAAAGATATCTATAAGACCAATATACACATGTGCACGCATGCGTGCACACACAGTCACACATATACATACACAGCTCTACAAAGCTGAAAGGCACATTTTTGTATGTAAACTTTCTGAGTACCTGCATTTCCATATATAATTCACAAAACAGGACTGATTACAGAGGCTCCTCTTAATAGCATTTGTACAGCAACACAAAATGTGTCTCCCTTTAACTACTGGCCACCTGAAAACCACCAACAGAAGAAGAAGTCAATCCTTCAGAAATAGCTGGTCTTCAACTTGTTTGGAAGAAACAGTCTCCAAGTTACAAAAAATTTCTGAGTACAGAACACTTTTTTTTTGATGTGAGAGTAAGTTGCCAACATGCTGCCCAGTACACCCATAAATACTTTCTATATATATTTCCTACAGAGAAATTATCCTACATAACCAGTTAACAACTATTAAAAATCAGGAACACTGGGGTACACTACTGTATCCAATTCCCAGACCCCATTTCAGGTTTTGACAATTTCCCAAAGATATCCTTTATGAGCATAATGATTCATGAACTACATTTAATTATCTTGTTTCTCTATCTCCTTCACTCTGGTTACAGTTATTCAATGTTTTCTTAATTTTCATAACCTTGACACTTTTAAAGATTGCAGTTCACTTAATTTTGTAGCACATCCCTGTTATCAGAGTTAGCTTAATGCTTCCTCATACTTAGATTTAGGGTATGCATCTTTAGCAAAAACATCACAGAAGTGAGGCCATGTTCTTCTTAGTGTATCCTATTAGCTGGCACACTTCTATGTCTGCTCTGATTACTGCAAAGCTTCTCCACTGTAAAGCGCCCATTTTCTCTTTGTAATAAGTACTCTGTGAGGAGATATTTTGAGACTATAAATACCCACCCCTTATAGAACTTTCCAAATTCATTCATTAATTTTTCCAGTATAGATACATGAATTCCTATCTTATTTATAATATGCTATTATCATTACTTATTTTGATATTCCAATTGTTTCAAATTTGGCCAATAGGAATCCATTTCAAACTGGATTCTGAGTCATTTTGACATAATTCCATGATTCTTTGAACACATCTTTACTTTCCTGCACAAGAAAATGTTACAGTTTCATCTTGTACTTTTCCATAACCTGACCTTGGAATTCACCATTTCTCCAATGGGCCCTGCTTCATTTAGAACGTTATTTAAAGACCAAGAGCTATATGCCAAGTTTGCTATATCTTAAAGAATGAAAACTCTGTTCACACTGATATCTGTTAATTCAAATTTAATAACACAGAATTTGTTCTAGTTTCCTCCATTTTGTAACTCCTTTCTCCAACATTAGGCTCCCATACTTATCTGATCAACACTCACCTCCTCTCCACCTCCCATATATAACCAACTTCCTATTGTTGACATGACCCCTTCACTGTAGAATGTTCACCACCCCACTGAGGCTCTGTCAAGTAACTATGAGAAGCTGCCACCATCTTCCACATGGATCTCCTCCTTACGCCACTCCAATTCATCTATCTCATCATGAGCCCTCTTCTAAACAGATACCTCTTTACTACACCCAAACTCCAAAGCCCCACATTAGGCCAGCAGGATGCATGTGAATATTCTTCATCCTGGTAAGTTAACAAAACTCTCTCACTTGGTTAAAAGGACAGATATCTAATGCAGATGCTTTTCGACTAAACTGTTTGGGAAAGGGGAAAAATGAAAAACAGAAATAGTATTAAAAATAGCAAATTATATCTTTTTCAACAACTAAAAGCTTCTTTTACCTAGTATCTCATTTGCCCTAGTAGATAGCCATATAGTACAGGTCAACAAAATGAACTTGAGGGGCCAGTGATATAGCTCAGTGGTAGTGTACTTGCCTAGCATGCACAAGGCCCTGGGTTCAATCCCTAGAAACAAACACATATGCACAGAAACACACACAAAGAAAGAAAAAGAGAGAGAGAGAGAGAGAGAGAGAGAAAATATGGATTTAAGACACTGGTGATGCAGCTCAGTGTTAGAGTTTACCTTGCAAGTGAGAGGCCCTGGCTTTAAAACCCAGCATCACTGCCACCACCACAACAAAAATAAACATAAGAACCAGATAGACTTTTAAATCCTATTTCTTACACTTAATAGCTGAATGGCTTAAACATGTCATTTAACCCCTTCAATTCAGTAAAAGCAGCTGATTGTTCGGAGAATTAAATAATTAATGTAAAGCAAATACATGGTACTAAACCTATAATTAGCATTCAATAAGCATAAGTTATTACCATTGCCTTCTTTTACATAATCATTATTAAACAGGAATCAAAAGATCCCTATGTACATCTGTATAATTTTACAAAAATGAATTCTTAGCTCTTTTAACTTCTGAAAGGGTTCGTGTTCCTAAAGACATTAAAAACCTTATGGTATTTATTATCTCATGACTACTAATGAAATCACAGCCTCCATTCTATCCTTTACATCTGATAAATTATTTTCTAAAATGATTTTCTAAAATGTTGCCAAGATCTGTTATTCTCCTGAAGCTTCCAAACAGTCTAGCAAACAAAGAAGATTCTGCAATCTGGCAATCAAGGCTCAATACAATATTCCAATATGAACCTATTCTACCTTTCCAGGTACTTCCACCTAACTGAAATTTCCACCTGCATGTGCCAGCCCATATTTTGGCTACAATATTTGTCCTCCTCTTTACTCCCATCAAAATACTGCACGTTTCTCAAGCTTTTCAAAGTCATTTAAAATCTACCTCCTTTTTGAAATTTCCTTTCACTAGAGCAACCAAAAGCAAGTTCTTCCTTCCTTAAACTCCTGAAAAACCAGGTGATACATAACTACTGACTTATAGGTATATATATTACCTTCCCTGCTAGATTGAATTCGGATCCTCTTGGAGAAATGTGATTTCTATCTCCAAATCAACTACCATTTATTAAGCATATATACCAAGCACTCTTCACAAGTTACTCTTCACAACAGTCCTACAAAGTTGGTTCATTATCTTTTATAGATGAAGAAATCAAGGGTCAAAGATGTTAAGAAATGTGCCCAAAGTCATATAACTGGTTAGAAGCAAAACAAGTTTTTCCCTAGCATTTTTTCACAAAACATGAGATATATGGAATAAATAGGTACAATCTTCATAAGGGGAAAGATTGTCAGGTCAAGTAAGTTTAGAAAGATTAGCAATGTTAAATCACTATTTTTATCCAAAGATTTTCTCAAAGCCTTTTAACATGCTACTCATGTACTTTACATATTTCCACAGGACATAAGTCTATTTCCCAAATGTATTTGGGGATAAAATCCTTTTCTCAAAGACCATCCACGACACAGGACTATTGATTCATGAAACTCACTTCAGGAAATGTAGTAATGTATTCTGTAGTCTTTGCACGGGCATTTGCACATAGTAGGCACTCAATACACATTTCTTCAAGAAGAAAATTTATTCCTCATATTAAAGCAACATGTAATTCCATCCCTCTTACTTACAGGAGGTTTTAAGTATAATGCTGACCACACTCAATAATATTTGAATTTTAAAAATTTATTTCATTACTAAGACTAAAAACAAGATGAAGAAAATTTCTACCTGTGCTTTTATGATATGCATGAATCTTGACATCAACTCAGGACATTCAAGGAGAAAGTGAAAGTGGTCAAAAATAATTTTAGGATTTCTAAAAGAAAAATATATTTTGTTAAATGGACAAGAAATACAAATACCATTAAATGAAATGCAAATTCAGATATATAGATAACTGAAATAAAAGAAAAATATATTAATCCTCTCCTACTGCATTTTGAATTGTTATTGAACACATTTTGAATGGAAACAGAAATAGCATTTTTTTCTATTTGGAAGAAACCAAACTTAAAGAGAAGAAAGAGTGCCAAGACAATCCATGAAATCTCAGAAACCCTTACCTGTTAACAAAACATTTTAAAACTTCATCATGTTTGCAGACAAATTCAATAAAACGGGGTGAAGTCATTCTGTGGGGATTAGGCAAAAATCAGAATACATAGACAAACATTGGTGATAAGATACAGAAAATCTGATAAATATGTATTGAACTGGACAGGCTTGTAGACCATAAGAAAGAACTTGGGTTTGGATCTTCTTTATAAATTCAGAAAATTAAGGCATGCCTAGTCAATACGTAGAATGAAATAGTATATATGTATGTATAGATATACACACACACACACACATATGTGTGTGCATATATATATATATATATATATATATAATATATATAAAACTTCTCAATAACAGATGACATAAACAAGTAACTTTTTAAAAAATCTTGAAAGTATGAGCATCTCTGCTCTATGAATTTCAAACATATAATTAAGATATCCTATATAAAATGACATTCTCCATTCTACAAAGAAATTTTGTACTAGAAGCAGATTAGTACAATGAGTACTCTAAAACAAGATTAGAATAGGATCTTTAAACATCAATAATTACTTCTTGTTATTGAAATTACAAAAACATCATATCTCTTCTTCACTTATGAGAGCAAAAAATAATAAGCTGAAACCTTCTTACCCTGGAGGCATCTGACAAGAACAGCACATGTAAAAAGCTTGAATGACAGCACTTAGCCGGTTGGCTGTCATAGAAATAACATCCTGACAATCTGCATTGGCTTCCTGTTTCCCTGCAAGAGCATCTGGTTTAGATTCCCCTGTGCCAGTGGATAGATTTTCATAGCTCCCAGGTTCAAATGGTGGAATGGAAGTGGCATCTTGATCTTGGCCTTTTTGTTTCAGTAAAATAGAAGTGATATCTGTTGAGTCCTTTTTGTTTTTCATCAATTCTGTAGCTATTAAAACTAGCCATTCATCTAATGAGTGCCAAAGCAATTCCAGAGGCTATGAAGAAAAGAAAAGTTTTTTAGACATCATTCTTAAACTGCATAATTAAAAAAAAAAAAAACCCACACAGCCAGAAATATAGTGTAAAAGAGAAAATTTACTCTAGATACTTCAGTTTTCCCATATTAAAATGACAATAATGCTTCAAGGTAAGTAACAAAAATATATGTTTCATATAAATTATAATTTCTTCATTTATAGCAAAATTTAATTATTTGTGTATGTATTCCTGGTAATAAAAAGATAAAACTAAAATCTAACAATAAATTATAAGCAATTGTTCTTCTTTCAATTTCAAAAATTTAGTTTTAAGACTATACATTACTTTCATAACACCCCTAACATTTACTGTCAATAATTATCAATAATTTTCAATAAAACAAAAATAAGCCATTTCCAACTTAAAATAAAATTAGAATTCCCAAAGAACCTAATAAACAGTTTAAAATTCTCCTTTCTTACATGAATTCCTAGAATTTTGATAATTTATCATAAGAAATGATTAAAATATGACATTTCTATGAATAAGTATATAATCATACAATATATCTTGTTTATACATACATTCCATCTCAAATAATTAATAAAGAAGCACAATTACCAAACTTCTATCAAAATACTAATTAGCAAATTCTTTTTTTTGTGGTTTGGGGAACCAAATGCAAGACTTCACACACATTAAGCATAAACTCTACCACTCAGCTATGCCTTCACAGCTCCTTGCAAACTCTTAATTCCAAGATTAATGGGGCTGGGGCTGGGGCTCAGCAGTAGAGCACTCGCCTAGCATGTGCGAGGTACTGGGTTCGATCCTCAGCACCACATAAAAATAAATAAATAAAATAAAGATTGTGTCCAACTACAACTTTTATATATATATATATATATTTAAAAAGATTAACATTTAAAAATAATAAGGGGGAAGAGGGGAATCAAACTGCTTTTTTACTCCTACAATATTTCAAATATTTCTGAGAATAGTGAAATGTCTTCTGTGAATTAAGAGTAAATAACATTTTATATTTAAATCATTTTATAAAAAATGCTGCAATAGGACCAAATACTAAAAAAAATGAAATACAAACATGATCTATAATAATTAGTAGTTTTAAAACAAATATAAATGTCCAACTACTTTTTATTAAAAGAGCTGCTAGAATATTTTTAATCCCAAATAAGGATTAACAGTTAAAGAGAGAGTAGAGGGGTTATCATTCATCTTACACAGTATTTTAAATATTTTAAAATATTTTAACTAAACAAATAATCTTACTTTTAGAAAATACTATGAAAAAAGATCACGCAAGCATATTTGTTTCTGAAATCTTAGAGAATGTTTTAATAACCTGTTATGCCAGAAAATTCTTCTCAATTATTATCTAACAATACCTTTACAATATTTTCATTGTTTATTCAATAATCCAGAACTTTATGAAGTAACCAGAATATTGTACTTATTATTTGCAAATAATTAAATCATCCCTAGTTCTTCATTCATACGGTGAACCAAAAAGCAAAAACAAAACAAATAAACTGAACTACCACTACTACAATCAACAAAACTTAGTACACTAACTAATTAAGCAGGAAAGCAGTTTCCTTTTTAAAGAGAAATTAATATTACCCTGGATGAGACTGAAATAAGGACCCCACTCATCCACAAACAGGGCTTTTCTAAATTTAGGCCACAGCTGAAAGATTTGAGGCCTCTGCTGTTTAAGGAAGGGCAGTTGCTATAAACAGTGACATGACACTTTTACTGAAAATGGCTTAGAATTATAATCACCATCCAAGTTTGAGCCTACAGTTACTCCTCATGAGCAAAACAGTAAACCTGCTATAGAAGCTGAATAAGAACTTTTTATGTCACAAACTATTTAGCTTTACATTAGAAAAAGAACTCCAAAATAGAAAGAACAGGTGGTCACGTAAATTACTTCAAACCAAAGAAAAAAGAAAAGTGATAAAACCTTGGAAACGGACACAGTGGATAGAGATGAGGCCTAAGGCAAGAATGATACAGGCTGATCATATAGATGAACACTGGGCCTAAACTCTCACAATCCTATTTTCAAATACTGGCAATGTGCAAAAAAATTTAAAGGCAAACTTTGAATAATCCAAAATAATAACAATACAATGGATCTGTATGAAAAGATAGATACAAAAATCCTAAAAGTTAAGAGTTTTCAATAAGGAATAGAAAGAAAAAGAATATAAGCCACTAGGGGTCTTTCTTTACTTTTCTTTTTCCTACCACCTTTCCTTTTTTCACAACACATACACTAAACCTAAATTCAAACCATGAGGTAACTTTACATAAGAAATTGTCTCTTTGAAGATCTATTTAAAAAATCACTCCTGAATCACAAACAAGAATACCATAAAAAATAACTTTAATTTATAATTGTGGCAGCAGCCACAGACAAAAAAGATTAAAATAAAGTTTAAATTTTAAAATAAAATATTGCAGTCTGGTTTTCTAGCTAATTGGTACAGAGTGGTTGGCTAACATCCATCTCCAGCATTGCAAAAATATAAATAAAAATAAACTATTGCATACCATATCTGTGATGCTTTCAATATTCATAAATAATAAATATATTAGATAGGATACAAAACACCATACATATAAATTGTTACTGAAAAATAAGTGAATTACTAAAGAAAATAGTAGCAGGTTCCTCGGCACTTTGAAAATAATGCTTCATTTCATGTTATTGAATGACTGCCACATTTACCTCTATAGTAACAATAAGACAATCATAGATGAGTTACAAACATTTAAAATTATATTTCTACACTATAATACAGAATTCCAAATTTATTGAACAAATTTTTTAAATTTTAAGATGTACTGAAGTAAAGTAGAAATGTGACAGGAAATTGATACTAACAGTTCATTAATAAGGGGTACTGCCTTGAAATTCTTTGTTAGTCTATTTCAATTCAATAATGTTAAATGTCACAACCCAAAAGATATTGAAGTTTAATTTTTCAATCTTTCTTGGCTTCCAAATTTTCCAAATACAATTCTATGAAACCATTAACAGTTACAGCTTACTATTTCACACTCAAAAAAGGGCACATCAGATTCAAAATAACCTAAACTGTCTTCCTCATGCTTGCTTACTCACTATAATAATAAAAACAACTTTCTCCTTCAAATACTCCAAAGTTCCAAAGGCTCTAGATGAAAATCTCTGAAAACACTGAAAGAATGGTTAGTATTGAGATTAACTTAAAGGACTTCTAATATAAATCAGAAAACTAATAACAGGATGTTAAACAATTTCACCTACTAAAAACACATGGCCTATAAACCCACTCATTCTTAATGGAAAACCCATTAGTTAATCCTAACAATAAAGTGACATGTTAGAGTACCTAGTTACTGAAATGGAAAGTAGAGATCAATTGCTACCTTACACAAAATGTGGTAAAGTTAAAATAGTATTCCCAGTCTAATGTTGTGCAACTCAACAGCAATAAAGATTTTTAATCTGTATTACCCCACAAAGCAGGAGACCTTATAGGCATGATGGCAATGTACAATGTCTACTTTCAGCCAGACTGGTGGAAAGGCAGATCATTTTGCTATCTCCCCAAAATGCCATGTTTTATTCATAAAATTGGATAGAAAGAGACTAATAAATTTCTTAAAAGTCAACACTTGTTAATTGTTTTTTAATTACCTGAGTTTTGGAATAAAAACATTTTACCAAAATGCAAATTAAAAATTTAAAGAGAAAATAAGCGGTCAAAGAGGCAAAAGCACTTATTCATGATGCAGAAAACACCTTTAAAAATAAAATGAAGGGCTGGGGATATAGCTCAGTTGGTAGAGTGCTTGCCTCACATGCACAAAGCCCTGGGTTCAATCCCCAGCACCACAAAAAAAAATAAAAAAAAAAATGAAGATACTAAAAAAATAAACTGGAAGAAAACAACTTTATAGACAGATATCGAGATAGCTGGAGATATATATATATATATATATATCAATCACAGATACATGACAAACACAAAGTTTGAATTCCATAAAAAGGAAAAAGAATGACATCTTCTTTTACCCTAAGTGTACTGACTGCCTAAATAGAAAATTGACATTTAAATCGAGCATGAAATACCTGTAGAGAGACTACTTAACATACACTTAAAAAAATTAAAAAAAAAAAAAACATACACTTGATTTCTGATATCAATTAGCAAGTAAGTGACAGATTTAAATTTTAAAAACAATGAAAATCAGACAATACTGAATATAATCTATACCGAATTTAGATAACAGTGACCATATCTATAACTGATTTGATTTTCTACTTATCATTTTAGATGAACAGAAAGGATGAGCTGAAAGTAAAATCAAGGGTAGAATCAGTCCTAACAGTGAGCTATGCCAGAATGCATGAAGAACAATTAAATATGATATGAATGAGAATCAAAACTCACTTTAAACAGCACTAAAAGAATAAATCAATAATTTAGACTGAGATTTAAAATGACAGCAAGTTGTCAATCCTAACTAGTGTTAGAGGAGGTGATATACGAAAAGTCAGTTTGAATTAAAAGATGATGCATAATTTTCTTCATCCAAAAGGTAGCACGATGGAGGAAGGCCTATAAATGTACATACATGTATACAACTGAAAACTTTATTTCCAACACTGATTTTCTCTTATACCTATTCTAATACTTAAAAATACACAAGTGTCAAAATGTTTGCAAAACATTTATTTTTAAGTATCTGCCAGTTTTTCCATGTTACAAAAAAAAGAATCATTTAACAGAGACTACCAATTTAGCTTCAAATTTTATAGATAGCAGAGTTATTAATTTAGTTTTCAAGGAAGTAGCACATAAAAACATTGCTTTTTGGATGTAATGGCGCTCAATGGCAGAGCACTTGCCTAGTACTGTGTGACACTCGGTTCGATGTCTAGCAACACATAAAAATAAACAAATAAAATAAAGACGTGCTATCCATCTACAACTATAAAAATAAAAATAAATATAAGTTCATGAATGCCAAAAGAAAACTTTATACCATGAAAATCTCTGAAGAAAAATTACCTTTTGAAAAACAACATTAGTGGGCAGGGGGTGTGACTCAGAAGCAGAGTACTTGCCCAGCATGCACAGGGCCCTGGGTTTAATAAACAACACCACAAAAAATATATGTAATAATAATAATAACCATTAAAATATATTAACTTAAATGCAATCCCACAATGCTGAGTGCAGTGGTACATGCCTGCAATTCCAATTACCTGGGAGGCTGTGGCAGAAGGATCACAAGTTCAAGGCTTGCCTGGGGAACTTAGCAAGAACCTGTCTCAAAATAAAAAATAAAAAAGGCTGGGGATATAGCTAAGTGGTAGAGCACCCCTCCAGTATCACCAAAAAATAAAATATATACAGTACTACAAACAAGCATTAATAGCAATAAAGTAATATCTATCTACCTGTGTGTGTGTGTGTATTATTTTTTATTTTTTTTTTTACTTCAAAAAATTACAATTTAACATGGGTAACAATGCTGCCTTTGGTTTTATATGGAATCATTCTTCCAAGGATCAATCTTCCACTCATTTGTACCTGTATTAAAAAACGTTGCAGAAGCAATACAAAATATTTTAAGAAAATTTCTCAATGATTCTTTCCTGAGGTAATCCCTGGAATTAACTGTTAGTACACCTAGTAAATAAAAGCAACCTTACTTCTTTTTTCTAAGGGGGGTACAACAGATTGAACCTAGATGCACTTTACCACTAAGCTATATCCCTAGTCCATTTTTTTTTACTTTTTGAGACAGGGTCTCACTAAGTTGTTTAGGGCCTCACTAAGTTGCTGAGGTTGGTCTCAAACTTGATATTCTCCTTCCTCAGCCTCCCGAGTTGCTAGGATTATAGGTGTGCACCACCACACCCAGCAAGTAACTTTACTTCTAAAAGCACATACAGAGACACACACACAACATACATACACACAATAATAAAATTTAATAAAACTAGATATTTTCTTTCTAATAAGAATTTTTTAAATGGTAGTTGCCTATTACATTAAAAACATCCAATAAAATTAAATTTAAACATTAACTATCTCTATGCTTACAATAAAACACTAATTAAATAAAAATTTTATATGTAAGAAAATATAGAAAGCTCACCAGTTAAACTTTATGTTGATTAGAGAGAACTGAAAGAAAAAAGGTGTGCCTAATTTAAAAAATGGTAGAGGTGGGCTGGGGATGTGGCTTAGTAGAGAACTTGCTTAGCAGGTGCAAGGCCCAAGACCACAAATAAAAACAAAAAACAAGTGGTACAGATATGAACCAAAATTACACCCTGTTTGTGAGGTGTCTGATTAATGAAGGCATGCTTTGTCAAATTCATCTTTTACATATGTCTGCCTAACAACAACATATTCTTGTCTGACCTTGAACACCTGGCTTCTTGGAGTTTTGTTCCCATTGTAACCCATATCGATTCCATTACTGGGGGAGGAAGGGCCAATTCGAAAGACATGACAAAATATCCTCACAATCCTTAAAAGGCTCTTCATTTGAGCATCATAATTGCTAGATAGGCTGAAAAAATTAAAACATGAACAGATTAGATGGAGCAAACAAACTATATCTTCAACAGTTTCATTTCACTGACCTTTAGCTTCATAATAGAACTGGGGTAAAATTCTCTTTTTATCATGATAGGAAACAAAATGGTTTAACAGCAAAGTATCGAATATACATTATTTGAATAGCTTATTAATAGAATGGTAATTTTAAAGTACCCAGAATATAACCAAGATCAAGGTGTAAATGTGGGAGGGGGGGGAATACTCCTCTAGAACAATTGGTATCTTGATACACCAACTTCAAGGTAATCTTCAATTCTCCCTTCCAAAAGTACATTTTTAAGTTGAACTATTTAGAACTCTGAAAACATTTCACAAAGAACCAACTCTATAAATATTATGTTGTAAAAGTATACAGCTGCACAAAAGCAGACCAACCCATTGCTCAAATGTTTAAACTAAGACGCTGAAACTCTATCTAGTCTATCCATAACTTCATAGCCCTCCCTGTCCAACAAGAGTAACCAATTATTGGCATACAGAATATTCACAAATTGAATAATCTTAAAGTTACCAACTAATTGCATTAGGGTTGTTCTCTATGTAATGGGTTGTACTATGACTCCACATAAACATAAGAAATAAACCCCAATGTGGAAAAGAAAAAAAATTCAACTAACATTAAATCATACAAAATATAAACTTTCTTAAACACATCGAAAAGCCCTTCAGAACCCCAAAGTACCTTGGGATTAGTCATAATCACAAATACCAATCATTCCTCTTCCACAGAGAAGCTGAAGAACTTCAGTTAAATTCATACTTAATTTAATAATATATCTATAAATAATTCTGGGGGTCTAGGGAATATTTTATTTTGAAATCTCTAATATCAATTATTTTGTATTATAACTGTTGCACAAACAGAGTAAGGAGTTTCATGAATTTTCAGGCAGAATGGCATAATTGTGTTTGTAATGAATCTAATTATCAAAAGTCCTCTGCATATTTTACCCAATTCATGGTAACATTTCTAGTATACCTTTAACATTAAAAAAAATAATAATAAGGATTAATAATTTGGGAATTGAAAATGTGTATTCATTAAAGTATTTACTACCACTTTCTAATAAAATGGAACAAAATCCAAACTAAACGGCAAATTGAATATAAGGAGACATCTTGTCTGTTTTATTCACAACCACCTAATAGAATGTCTGGTGTCTGGCAGCAGGCATTCAAAAATACACATTAGATGCATGGATGAACAATAAAGGAAACTCCAAAAGGTTAGTTGCTAAGGCCACACAGTTAGTAAATGGTGTGTCTTTAGTTAGTTAGTTGCTAAGGCCACACTGTTAGTAATGGTGTGGATTTAAACTTGAGTCTGGCAGGCTCCAAGGACCATGCTTTTAATTAGCATATCTGAATCTTAGAAAGGCTTCATCAACAACGTGTAATACTGGGAATGACTAAAATAAGAGAGGCACATTATGGGAACCTGGAATTCAATAATTCTTATAGATAGGATTCTAAAAGTAGTTGCAAATAGAATAATTTTTTAAACTAGCAAATTGTATATTGAGTAGAACTGCTGAAGAAACTTTGAACAGTTTAAAGAATGCAAGAAAGTGATCTTGGCACCAAGAAAAAATAAAGGGTCTTAGAGTAAAGAAAATGACTCTCATCTGAAGTATATGAAAAGTTGAGGGGAAAATGAAACAAAGGACTAAAATCATGAATTTGACAATGTAGATGAATTATAGAACCTGCATGTTGTTGGGAGGAAAAAAGTTCAGTAGCAACTAAAAAGGTAGGAGACAATCATGACCTATCAATATAGAGATGATTAGTGAAAAAATAATAATAATAATACAAAGGGAAAAGCATCTAAATTAAAAGAGGGTCAAATTTATAAATTAATATGTAATAACAGAGAATTATATAGCTCAAGGGCATTTCTTAATAACTACTTACTCCTAATTAGGGTTTCTAACCACAAAAGAATGTAGCTGTGGGAAAATGCCATATATATAAAATGAAGTAATATAAAAGCATTAACTCCATGGACTTAGTGATGAGCCACTAAAATCACAAAAACTTCTGGAAAGAATAAAGAAACGAGGGGGAGAAATGAATTACAGTAGATGGGGTAGAGAGAGAAGATGGGAGGAGAGGGGAGGGGAGGGGGGATAGTAGAGGATAGGAAAGGCAGCAGAATACAATAGACACTAGTATGGCATTATGTAAATCAGTGCATGTGTAACCGATGTGATTCTGCAATCTGTATACAGGGTAAAAATGGGAGTTCATAACCCACTTGAATCAAAGTGTGAAATACGATATGTCAAGAACTATGTAATGTTTTGAACAACCAACAATAAAAATTTTAAAAAATTTTTAAAATAAAAAAATTTAAAAATAAGATAAAATAAAATAAAAATGTTGGGTCCACCGAAAACTAAAAAAAAATAAATAAATATTAAAAAATCCAAAAAAAAAAAGAATAAAGAAACGAAATGAGACAGGGTAGGGAGAAAACTTCATGCTAAATCTCAAAAGTATTTTGAAAAGTTGAAGAAAAGCCTATACTCACTTTTATAAATTAGTGAGCAAGATTCCTGAACTACTTTTGGGATTCTTCTTCATGTGTATTTACTTACATAACTAGTCTAAGTAATACTTTCAAAAAATTCCAAACACATATGCCAAAACTCATTCAAGTATGCTTCAGTTTCTTTAAGATCAAAGTTTCTTTAGGTGATTATCTTGGTCCTTTTAAATAAAATAATGATACGTCAGCAAATTTTCATAATATCTTACCACTGAAAAAAGGCACCTAACAGAATAATTATTCAGGTAGAAACTGCTACCTATTGAAATGCTGAAACACTTACCTAAGCAGCTTGTGACCATTTGTTGTAGCAACTTCAGCAAGGCTTGTTAGAATCTTTAGATACTGGCTTTCACTTTGCTGAGACAAATGCTCCAGAACTTGCCGTAGCTAAATATTTATAAGTAAAAAATTGAGATTAAATAAACTATTAAATTTTGTCAAAAAATTAAGTACTTATTAATTTAATAAACACCTTAAAGCCAATCAGCTAAAATAGAAACCTTTATACTTTGCTTTGTATAAATTTAAAAGTTAATATGATAGATGATAACATAAAATTTTGTTGAAAATTACACAGTAAACAATTAAAAAAAAAGAGAATAAAAATCACTTAGTGTATCTTTGAAAATTTAACTCCAGACTTCTCAAATTTCAGAAAATTTTAAATTCCATAATTTTTCTAAGATTATAGCTACTATAAATAATAGCACTCAGGGATGGGGATGTAGCCAAGCAGCAGAAAGATTTGGAGTTAATCTCCAGCATAGCAAAAAGAAAACCAAAAATAAAAAAAAAACAGTGCTTGGTAAACTAGTGATTACAAATCATAACATGACATTCCTCCTCAGATTCGTTTCCTCTTTCCCAGGGAATAGTTATCCTAAGGGAAGATCAAAGATCCACAGAACAGAAGAGTTAGAAGGCCAAATATTAGCCCAAAGTTTGTTAATTATTACATATGTTTCTTGGTATCTCTGGGGACTAACACCTGAATTCCCAAGGATATCAAAATCTGCAGATACTCAAGTTCTTTATATAAAATGGCATAGTATTTGCATATAACCTATGAACCTTTTTCCACATATTTTAAATCATTTCTAGATCACTTTTCATACCAAATGCAATAAAAATGCTATGCAAATAGTTCTTGTACTATATGGTTTAAGAAACAACAAGAAAAAAAACTGTAATGTTCAGTACGTATGCAATTTTTAAAAATGTTTTTGACCCCTGATTGGTTGAATCCATGCATGGAGAACCCATGGATATGAAGGAATAAAAGGAATTCATACTTATTCTATAGTGCAGATAAGCATATTCAAATTATTAAAATATTTGTATTAATAAATAAAATTACTAAGCACATTTGGAAAGTTTCACATATATAAGCCTGAATAAAGCTTGTTCATTTCCAAGTTACTAGCACAATTATATTACCATGTTTTCTCGGAGGTCTTCATTCTGTGTCATTTGAATAATAGTCTGAAAAAGCCTAGGATGATACTGAATTAATACTTCACAAGTCTCTCCATATCCACCCTAAAAACAAGACTTAAAATTACTCAACTTCGAAAATAAAGTTTTTCTTAACAGTCATTTATACTTCACAGTATAAAAATCTTTGCACTCACCCACTCACTTATGAAAAAAATGATTTTACTATTCTCAGTTTCTATCTTAAATGGGCTCAAAATATATATTGAAAACATACCTGTACACATAAATCCAGAGGGGTTACTCCATTTTTATCTGGCAAATATTTGGCTCCTCGTAATAGAAGAATCTGTGCTGTATCTCTCTGACCATGACTATATAGAAATAGAACCAAATTAAAAATAAAATATTTTTTTATTTTTAATAAATTTACTTAAATAGCCAATTTATCATATTTTACTAATTTGATATATTTGCTTTACATACACAAACAGACATAAACATCTTGGAAGATCAAGTTTTTATCTTTGAAAATCATTTGTAAGTCTAAAAATAAAATATTTTAATAGCCTCTTCAACAAATGGTGCTGGGAAAACTGGAAATCCATATGTAACAAAATAAAATTAAACCTCCCTCTCTCTCACCATACACAAAACTCAACTCAAAGTAGATCAAGGACCTAGGAATTAAACCAGAGACCTTGTGCCTAATAGAAGAAAAAGTAGGCCCAAATCTCCATTATGTTGATTAGGCCCAAACTTCCTTAATAAGACTCCTATAGTGCAACAATTAAAACCAAGAATCAATAAATGGGATGGATTCAAACTAAAAAGCTTTTTCTCAGCAAAAGAAACAATCAGTGAAGTCAACAGAGCACTTACAGAATGGAAGCCAATCTTTACCAATAGCATATCAGATAGAACACTAATATAAAGCACTCAAAACCCTTAACATCAAAAAAAAAAAAAAAAAAACAAATAACCCAATCAATAAATGGGCCAAGAAACTGAACAGACACTTCTCACAAGAGGATATACAATCAATCAACAAATACATGAGAAAATGTTCAATATCTCTAGCGAATAGAGAAATGCAAATCAAAACTACTCTAAGATTTCATCTCAAGCCAGTCAGAATGGCAGCTATAAAGAATACAAACAACAATAAGTGTTAGTGAGGAGTGGGGGAAAAGGCACACTCATATATTGATAGTGGGAGTGCAAAATGGTGCAGCCAATATGGAAAGCAGTATGGAGATTCTTTGGAAAACTTGGAATGGAACCACCATTTGACCCAGCTATCCCACTCCTCGGTCTATACCCATAGGACTTAAACAACAGCATACTACAGGGACACAGCCACATCAATGTTTATAGCAGCACAATTCACAATAGCTAAATTGTGGAACCAACCTAGATGCCCTTCAGTAGATGAATGTATAGGGAAACTTTGATATATATATACACAATGGAATGTTATTCAGCATTAAAAGAGAATAAAATCATGGCATTTGCAGGTAAATGGATGGAGTTAGAGAATACACTGCTAAGTGAAGTTAGCCAATCCCAAAAAACCAAATGTTTTCTTTGATATGAGGATGCTGACTCATAATGGTGATGGGGGGGGGGGGGGCGGCATGGAAGGAATGGAGAAAAATTAGATAGGACAAAGGGGAGGGAGGGGAAAAGTGAGGGCATGGGGGTAGAAAAGATGGTGGAATGAGTTAGACATCATTACCCTAAGTACATGTATGAAAACACAAAAAGTGTGAAAATACTTTGTGTACAACAATGACTTGAAAAATTGTGCTCTATATGTGTAATAAGAAATGAAATGTATTCTGCCGTCAAATGTGATAAATTAGAAAAAATAATTTAATAAAAAAAGAAAAGTAAAATATCTGGATTCCATAACAAAAATAAAATCTTTTAAAGTCTTTCTCTATGAATTATGGATGGTTAATATGAATCCTACAATAACTCATAACATTTTGAGATATGTAACTATTTATCAAACTCTGATCAATTTTTTTCCTTCCATTCACTTCCTAATCCCTTTCTCAAGTCTATCCTGACCTCCTTTCTACCACAAACACCCAAATTTTTAGACTACTTACTCCAAAAGAATTTAAATATTAAAAATAAGGCCCTGGGTTCAATCCTCAGCACCACATACAAATAAATAAATAAAATAAAGATATTGTATCCAACTATGATTACAAAAAAACAATATTTTTTTAAAAAACACATTTCATAGCACTTTCTTTGTTAAAAAAAAAAAAAAAAGAAAAAGAAAAGAGCATCAAAATAAGAACTTAAGGGAAGAACACAAGTGAGAATTACAAGGAAAAAATATCTATCTAGCTTTCAACCTTTATCAACCCACTCAGTTTGGCTATTCAATCTAGTCTAGAATAAACAACTCTCCTATCCACATGCCTTTCTCTGATAGCTCTCCTTGTACTACTACTCTTTCAGTTAGAACCATTATACTCTGGAGGTAGCAATCACTAGACCCTAGGTCTTTTTATTCAATGAGTTCCTCTGACTCAAAATAAAGTCAACAAAAATAAATAAATTTACAATTCAGAGACATTAAAATATAAGGCTGATTTTAACAAATGCTCAAAGAAGTTCCACAATTTAAAAAGACCATCTAATACAAAAACTTTACTTTGAAAGTGAGAAAAGCAACTAAACTTAACAAAATGGATTTTTTTTTAACATTGATTCAGATAATTTTCACTTCCTTGAAGAGGAAATAGAAGTGATCTCTCAAACACTTTCATTCTTCTAACTTCAGACTTTGTGAATTTGAGAACTTGGATAGAATATATAATTGTACAAATAGAAGCAATATTTTTTGGAATAGCCTGAAACAAAATGACCGTATTTTCAAAGGGGATGTTCCAAATCTAAGTTTATAATTCTGAGTCTAAGGTCTACTGGCTATTTACAGAGTTTGATAACTAAAAGGAGTTGCCTGGCAGGAACTATGAATCCATGCTCTGAATTTTATCCCTTTATAACTATTACAAAGCTCTAAAACTCAATACATGTCTCACTAATTTACTGTATCTATACATCTCAACAAAATCTTACTTTTCCTAACAGAATGAAAGTTATCTGAAGATACAGAAAATACTTGAAAATCTAAATATCACAAGTACAATTAAAAGTCTGCCTGTAAATGTTTTTTGGTTTTACTTCTCAACACGGACTTGTATAACTATCTTTGTTCAAAGCTATCTGATGTTTGCTAGTTTAGAACCTAAGCATGTACAAGGCCCTTGGTGAATTCTAAGTACCAAAAAAACGAAAAAACCCTTAATGATATAGGGGGATATAGTAGTAGCAGAATGTACTTCTAAAAACATCTTTTTATCACATTCCAACATTCAGACTATGGGAATATCTCAGTTCTATATTACCATACTTATATTTACTATTATAAATGTCACTGTTTCATATAAAATATTTTTCAAGCATGAAATTACAGTGACTCAATTCATTCAAAAACATCTTCCAAAATGAAATTAAACCTCTATCTCTCACCATAAACAAAACTCAACTCAGAATGGATCAAGGACCAAGGAATTAGACCAGAGACCCTGCACCAACTAGAAGAAAAAGTAGACCCAAATCTTCATCATGTCGGGTTAATCCCTGACTTCCTTTACAAGACTCTTAAAGCACAAGAAATAAAATCAAGAATCAATAAGTGGGATGGATTCAAACTAAAAAGCTTCTTCTCAGCAAAGGAAACAATCATTGAGGTAAAGAGAGAGCCTACATTATGGGAGAAAATTTTTACCACAAGCACATCAGATACAGTACTAATCTCCAGGATACATAAAGAACTCAAAAGACTTAATACCAAAAAAATAAACAACCCAATCAATAAAAGGGCTAAGGAACTGAACAGAAGAAGATATACAAGTGATCAACAAATATATGAAAAAGTGTTCAACATCTTTAGTAATTACAGAAATGCAAATGAAAACTAAGATTTCATCTCACCCCAATCAGAATGGCAGTTATCAAGAATACAAGCAATAATAAGTGCTGGAGAGGATGTGAGGAAAAAGGTACACTCATATATGGCTGGTGGGACTGCAAATTGGTACAACCGCTTTGAAAAGCAGTGTGGAGATTCCTCAGAAAACTTGGAATGGAACCACCATTTGACCCAGATATCCCACTCCATGGTCTATATCCAAAGGACTTAAAATCAGCATACTATAGTAACATAGCCACACCAATATTTATACCAGCTGAATTCACAATACTAAACTGTGGAACCAACCTAGATGCCATTCAGTAGATGAATGGATAAAGAAAACGTGGTATATATACACAATGGAATATTACTCATCAATAAAAGAGAATAAGGCATTTGCAGGTAAATGGATGGAGCTGGAGAATATAATGCTAAGTGAAGATAACTACTACAGTACTCTAGTCAAGACGTAACAGTTTCAATGAGTTTAAGAGTGGAAAAGTTTCAAAACAAATTCTGAATGTAGAATTTACAGAACTTACTAAATAAGTTCCAAGCTGAGGGTTCAGAGAGAAATAAAAAAAATAATGATCTGGTCTCTGGCTTAAAGAACTGGAGAATAAGGGAAACTGAAAGAAAGGTTTGAAAAAGAAAATCAGAAACTGTATTTTGGACATGTTAACATCTGAGATTCTATGAGATTTTTGAGTGATGAGAGACAATCAAATTCAGAGGTTCAAAGAAAACTCTGATCTAAAGATAAATTCTAAATAGGGTATGATTTCAGGTAATCAAACAATTATATTATTCATAAATTAAGAACACTATGGAAGGAACTGCTATTCTAACCAACCAACCAAATTTTAAGTATAAGAAAATGACTAGATTTAGACAAAATCTAGATGTATAAAGATTCAAAAGCTCCTGTACATAAGGGCCCCTTGAACATAAGAGTCTAAAATTTTACAAATTTTTAAATTCATAAAATTTAAATCAAAGACAAGATTCACTACAATGTTTGGTGAACTGCTCCTAACAAAGGTTGTTCAATAAATAATCTGAATCAGTCTGATCAAGATAATATCAGAGACCCAACAAGAAGCTAAAGAGGAAAGGCAGGTCTTTCAGTCTAAAACAAACATACAGACTTTTTGTCATTATTCCCTAAACAATACAGTATATCAACTATTTGTACAAGATTTACAATGTATTAGGTATAAGTAATTTAGAGATGATTTAAAGTACACAGGAGGATATGCATAGTTTATATGCAAATATTAGGCCATTTTATATAAGGGATCTGAGTATTAGAGAACTTTGGTATTTATGGGAGAATTCTAGAACCAATACTAGGGGACACCAAGAAAGCACTAGAATTTAAATCAAAAAAGAAGAACCACTATAGTTTTTTGTGCACGGCTTCTCTCTGTAAGCTACATTTATATACCATCCCAACACACAAACTCTCGTATATCTAAGTGGGTGTGAATACATGTGTGTAATTTTTATGTTGCTCTTTAGATACTGGGGTTTTTTTGTTTTGTTTTGTTTTTGTTATTATTTGTTTTGCTTTCTATGATGATAGATCTGGAACCCAGGGCCTTGTACATGCCAGACAAGTGTTCTACCACCAAGCTACATCCTAGCCCTACTTATTACTATATCACTAATACCTATAACATGCAGTGCTAGCTACGTGTTTGCCAATTAAGTGAATGAATAAGTGAACAAATGTCCAAGTCAAGAAAAGATCAAGAAACAAGCACAAAAATAATGTATAACTTAGTAACTAACAAAACTGACTCAATATTTTAAAGTTACAGATACAGAGAAAGCAAAACCATGGCTCTGGACCAAAACATATTTCAATAGCTTATCCCAAAGAAACTCACCTGGTTAGTTAATAAAGTGACCTATGGGAATTACTGGATTATTGATTTTTCTTAAAACTGAAATAATCAATTAAATCAAAAGCTCCCACCTACAGCATAAAAACACTGGCGATGAAATATAAGAGAAAATGCTTTCCCTCATGTAGTTAAGTAACAAAACCAAAATGCTTTTCTTCATCTTAAAAGAGAACATAACATTTTTGTGAAATTAGAGCTGTAGATAATATACAGAAATATTTGATTGAAAATATGGTAGATACACAACTTTGTTTTTTGGATATATGAAAATATAAAATATCATACCTGCAAGCAAAGTACAATGGAGTGGCTCCTGACACATTTGGCCTGTTAATATCAGCACCACTGTCTAGCAAGCATTGCACTGTCTAGGGAGGGGGGAAAAAAACAATTAAAATCAAAGAAGTCAAAAGATACAATTCTCAGAATTTAAATTCATATAAGGAAAGTTCTTCCCATAACTCAAAAGCTTTAAAGAGAAAATGAATGGGCATATGACAATTATGATGGCTGCACAAACTCAACTTTGATAAGCTCTGAGTCTCTCAGGCATCACATGCTATGTATGGAATTATCAGTGTGAGATAAACTGTTTTAGCATGAAAAAAACTCCTGAGCAGCACTGTTTCATAGCTAATATAAAAATATTAAAAGTTCACACTTGATGATTAGAGATAAGGCAAAGTACACCTAAAAGCCTTAAAAACTAAATGTGTGTGTGTATGTGTGTGTGTGTGTGTGTACACACACATATACATTTTATATATATAAAAATACACACACACTTATTCTGGTTTTATTTCTATAATCTTCATTTGAGTTCCTCCTGCAAAAAGAAATAAAATATGTAAAAATATAGTTTTTTTTGAACAAAACTTTTTTATTTATTCTGGATTGAACACATGTATTCATTTTGATTGCTGCTCTAAAACCTAGTAGTGTGTTAACATACACCTATACAAGGAAGAACAAGAAAGAATACACCAGTGTACTAGATAAGCCAAAAGGTTTTTGAAAGATGGCAAACAAATGGAGGACCAGTAAATTGACTCAGCAGATCAAAAAAAGCTGAGTCCAAATGGGAATTCTAATAAGAAGCAACCAAATTCTTAATATAGCACATATACAATAACAAAATTTAAAAAAAAAAAAAAACCTACCACAGGAAGTACCGAGTACCGGGATACCTCTGAAAATAGGATGTTTACACAGAGCTGAGAAATAGGAGGAATAGTTAAAAGTCTATAAAACAAATAATTCCTCCTTAGCTAGGACCCTTCCTCCCATGCCATAGTATTAGACTCTACTATGTTAAGACAGGTGGTTTATTCTCTAGACAAAGTGAAAATGGAAGCTCTAGACTGGCAAACAAGAAATACAAGTACAAGCAAGGTTCAGGAGCCATGGTGGAAAAAACTAAGTGAAAACCTCTAACCCCATATTTCTCTTGGGTCCCCAAAATCCAGCAGCCAGGCTTCAAACCTCATGAGAAATTGAAAGTTTCCACTCTATAGCCTGGCACCAGAAAGAAAGCCCTAAAGATATTAGCCTTAAGGATATTAACTGTAGAGTTCCTAATGAAATAATCCAGTTCAAGGCAATGTTTCTACAATGGAGTGATTCTCAACCAAAGAATGTTTTCCCCATGAGGGACATTTGGCAATCCCAGGAGATATTTCAATTGTTGAGACTAGGGATGGGAAGGACTATTGTTAGCTAGGGAGGAAAGGCCAGAGATACAGCTAAACATTCTATAATGCACAGGACAGTCCCCACAACAAACAATTATAAAGTCCAAATATAAACAGTGCCAAGATTAAGAAAACTTGGTATACAAAGAAGCCAAACATCCAACAAATTTGGCCCCCAAATACAATGCTTGCAGTCAACATCTTAGTATCTCAGCCTTACACACAGATGGACAGACAATATTTTAAGACACAGTGAAGTAACAAACCCAAACAGCAAAAATTTTTAAAAAGAAACCCAGAAAAATTAAAAATAAGGGGAACACCAAAGAAAACAACCAATATTAGAATTGCTAATATTCTCAGAGAGGAGAGGAAAAAAGTTATTATATCCTTGAAACAATAGAAACCCAAGGGGAAAATATTCAGAGAATAAGAAATTAAAATATCAAGAAGACACAACAATTCAACAATCTGGAGAAACACAATGCTTAGAAAATCTACAAGACAGAAAACAGAATGAAAAGACAAATAAGAAGAAAATAGAAAAGATGAGAAAATCAGTGGATCAATCCAAGGAGACACATTGCAGAAAGTAAGCATAAAGAAAATGAAGAAGTTGGGGAACAACACAGGAATCAGTAAATAATACTAAAACAAACCCCAGGGGCTGGGGTTATGGCTCAGTGGTAGAGCACTTGCCTAGCATGTGTGAGGCCCTGGGTTTGACCCTCAGCACCATGTAAAAATGAATAAAACAAAGGTATTGTGTCCAACTACAAATAAAAATTAAATAAATTTTAAAAAACAAAAACAAACAAAAAAAACCCCAGAACTAAAGAGAATGAATTGCCAAATTTAAATGGCTCATCAAATCCCTAGTCTAATATGTCAACAAAGCAACAAAATAAAATTTCATAATACCAAGCATATAAAATCTCAAAAGATAAACTAAAATCAGATTGATAAGATATATTTCAACTGTAACACCAAAATCTAAAAGGTAAAAAGCCTTTAAAGCTATAAGATAAACTATTTAAAATACAAAATTCTCTTCTCGACCACACTATTATTCATATCAGTTATAAGTTTAGAAACATGCTTAACTATGAAAGATTTCAAATTTTTTAAAAAATTAAAAAGTATCTTTTCTCAAGAAAAGCATACCTGGGAGCTGAACGATATCCTCCCCCAAAACAAGGGAATAAACCAAAATAGAAGATGTAGAAACCAGAATATTGGAGGTCAAACACAAGACAGACACTAAGAAATCTCCAAGTTTAAAGGGACAAAAAAAAAAAAAAAAAAGGCAAACTGACAAGATTATTTAACAAATGTGTCTTTGTAGAAAACAGTACTGAGAGATACTTACAGGAATATAAAATATAGAAAGAACTGCTGATTCTTACAAAGTAAACTGAGCAAAGTCAATTACTTCTAGAAAGAAAATGTTATAGTTCCCTACCTGACTTAACTGTAAACAACATTTACCCAATAATAAATAAAATGAATGTTACTTAACCAAAATTTGTAAATCCTAACTTGCCATAACAAGAAATTATTAAGTAACATCTAAACATCATAAATTAAAACAGTAAAACCATAGAAGCCTATTATTTAGAACTATCTACCAGAGAAAAAGCTAAAAAGGTCAAAAATTGTTCATGATCATGATTTGATAAAGAATAAGGGTTGGTTTAAGGGACAACTATTTTTTTATTTAAAATATTTTGATAAAAATTTTAAAAATATAGTTATCACATACTGCTATTTGAATTTACTTCTATCCCAGTATGAATTCTAAAATCTAAGTAATAGAAATACTGTTATAGGGCTAAGGGTGTAGCTCAGAGATACACTACATGCTTACCATGCACAAAGCATTGTGTTCAATCTCTTAAATACAAAAATGGCTATATAAAACTAATATTATCAGCTATACAACTCTTTTAAACTTACACAAGTAAGAACTTTCAAATATGAAAATGAGAAGCATTTATAGGTCACTATTTTATAAGAGAAGACATATTTCGGTCCTTTGATCCTGGTTTTCAACCTTTCTGATTTTTGACATAGCAGCTCTATGTGTGTGATCTCAAAACAGAAGTGAAATAGCACTAACAGTGTCTACAACTCTTATAGAAAATATAGACAATAAGCTTTCATTGTTGAAAAAGCCCAAGAGAAGAAAGATGAAAGCAAATACATTGAAAATATCTATTAATGTACATTTAAAACCTAGTGAGCCAGAAACTGAAATAAGTTAACAAAATACAGGACACATTCAGATAAATTATAGTTAAAATTATGTAACAAGAATATGAATAACCTTAACATGTGCCTAACACTACCCTAATAAGTATTTATCAATTCATTTATTGCATCATCTTGTGAGAAATGTGATATTCTCTCCACTTCTACAAGCAGGAAACTAAGGTTTCAAAGAGGTCAAGTAATTTGTACCCCAACACACAGTGAAGCAAGGATTAAAACTTAAGCCTATGTTCATAATCATAATCCTATTTACCAGAAAGTAGAAATTCTAATTTTTCTGAATTCAGATTACTAAATACTATTATGGCTAATCTGACATATACCTTCACAAACTACATTAAACACAGATGATCTACTAATCCCCTATCAAGTAACTATTAGACAGCCAGGCTCAAGTGACTCAACAGCTGCTTGTGTTCAGTTTAAAAATAAAGCCATTTTTAAAACCATATACTTTTTACAGTGCTTCTGTATTTTTATGTATATTGTAAAGCTTATAGTATAAAAACAATTTAGCCATTAGATTAACATATTACTCCACTATTTTCAATAAAGTAATGAGAAAAACTTTATAAGCATATCTTAGCAAGAAGGCATCATTTATAGTATGAACTGAAACATGTTTGTCATACCCTTGTCATATCCTTGCCCTACAAAGACATTAAAATTCTTTTCTTATATACCTGTCATATCATTGTACACCCTACAAGACATTAAAGATTCTTTTTTAAGTCAGCTTCAGTGACATATGCCTGAATTCTCAAGCTACTTGGGAACCTAACATAAGAGAAGCAAAAGCTCAAACCCAGCCTAGGCAACTAAGCAAGATCCGGTCTCAAAATAAATTTAAAAAGGGCTGGAAATGGGGCTACAGTTGTATCTCAGTGACAGAGCACTTGCCTAGCACATGTGAAGCACTGGGTTCGACCCTCAGCACCACACAAAAATAAATAAAATGAAGGTATTGTGTCCATCTACAACTAAAACAAAAATTAATTAATTAGAAAGGGGAGGCCTGGAGATATAGCTCAGTAATGGAATATCCCTAGGTTCAATTCCTAGCACTGGGGAAAAAAAAAAAAAAAAAAACTTTCCTTTCTTAAGATGAAAGAACATCTGATTGATTAAGGTAGTGGAAACTGTTGATTCTAGTATTTTATTTTCCATTCAGAAGTCTTTCTGCTTTTCTGTATTAAAAAATTTATTTCAGCAGAACACAACAGACACTAGTATGGCAATATGTAAATCAATGGATCTGTAACTGATGTGATTCTGCAATCTGTATATGGGGTAAAAATGGGAGTTCATAACCCACTTGAATCAAAGTGTGAAATATGATTTATCAAGAACTATGTGATGTTTTGAACAACCAACAATAAAAAATTTAAAAAAAAATTTATTTCAGT